AAATTAATGCTGTAAAAAAACACTCACGCACTGCAAATGTCTTGTGATATCGAATGGCGTTAAACAATTATTATCTCATTGAAATGAAATCATTTTAATTGGAAGCATCAACCGGCAAGTTACTACCATCATTCTTTGAATAATTGTTGGTAGATTCTCATCAAACCCACAAAAACCTTCTCAACTCTTAACAACTGCCTTTAGCTTGAAACATAGCTCGGTAAAACTCTGTGACTCTCAATTTGATTCGATGTTGTATTTGATGAATACTCTAGCGAGTAATAGTATTTCACTTATAATATGGAAATTTAGATTGGTTATATTTGGACTGAATTGCTTCCGATGGATCAACTGACGGCTAAATTGACAACACATGTTGTTGCACAACGCAAACTCAATTCATATTCAACAGTTGGCCACTCGCAAGCACGAAACCAACAAAGAGGAGTGTTTCTTTACCGAACTGAACTCCATTTGCGCCACTCGTTGTGTCCGTTGGAGGCTCTGGCGACGTTGGCACTGAGGGCGCATCTGTAAAAAGACCGAAAATGCAGTTAATCATACGACGATGCTATGCAAAGAGACGCAGTAACTGAAAATCTCAACGATAAAAGACGAAAAATCCGAAGAGACATTTTTGGTCACCAATGTGTTTTTTCTTCTTCTCAATAATGCAATTAGTTTTTTAATTTTGGTTGATAAGTTTTCAGATCCTAGGGTGGTTTTAAAACGTCACAGATCGCTGAGTTATCGACGTCCTGGATGAAGAATTTTCTGTTTCTCGTCTTATTGCTAAAAAGAATGGTCTCTTTGGTAAATGAAGATACATTCTATTCATTTTCCATTTCAACATTGAAAGAATGAATTTAAAATTCTAATCAGCCGACATTATTGTGCTTCTTAATTGGGTATTAGAATTGATTAGGTGGTAGGCGAAATCCCTAAAATTTTACCAGTACGAAAACGATTAATTTTGATGCACTGAAGTTTCCTGCTCAGGGTAACAATTAAAAATGTATCCCAGAATCAATTCATATGCTTAGAATTCAAATTCATTTCCCAACAAACAGACGAGTGAATGCATCGAATAACCAACTGATACAAAAAAATTCTCCGTGCTATTCATAATCTAATAACCTGGATATGAAATCAAAAGTAAAACTGGCTCTCAAGTAGAAATTAAACAGCACTATATTGTGCAATTTGCTCCGTTCCAAAGAAGGCGATCATGATCAGTAAGACTCACCGCTACCTCCTTGCGGTGTACTCGGGTTAGATCCACCGCTGCCTCCTTGTGCCGTAGTCGGGTTAGATCCACCGCTGCCTCCTTGTGCCGTAGTCGGGCTAGATTCACCGCTGCCTCCTTGTGCCGTAGTCGGATTAGATCCACCGCTGCCTCCTTGTGCCGTAGTCGGATTAGATCCGCCGCTGCCTCCTTGTGCCGCAGTCGAATGAGACCCACCGCTGCCTCCTTGTGCCGCAGTCGAATGAGACTGACCACTGCCTCCTTGTGCCGCAGTCG